CTATTACTGTGTATCGGTGATGCAGACCATGAACGTTTATGTTGGTGGATGGGTCACCAATCAAGCACGCTGCATGTCCTCAAGTGTCACTGCATCAAAATCCCAAAACTCCCTTTGTTACAGCAGTGTGTGTAATTCACCAAGGACTGCAGTGGTTTGCGAAGGCAACATGCCACTATATTCTCAAGGGCAGTTAGAGTTAGAAAATAAGTACTGGTCTGACAGAGTGCCTTGATGAAGGGAACGTTGTTGATATCAACAGACAAAATAGGGGCAGAAACCATTTGGCCAGTCAAGCCTGCACTCTGTCATTCAGTCAAATCATGCTACCCCAATAACCCTTGATCCCACTGCCAAACGGAGAATATATTCACCTCTGTCAAAATTATTCAATGACCCTCATGCCATTTGCCTTCTGAGGCAGAGTGTTACAAAGTTGCACAACCCACTTAGAGAAAATAATTTTTTTTTATTATTCATGAACGGAATGGCAGTTTTCTTCCCTAAAGGCCATTAACCAGATGGGTTTTCCCCAACAATCAACAATGGATTCATGGCCACTCTTAGACCCTTAATTCCAGATTCTTTTATCAAATTCAAATTCCACTATCTGCCATGATGGGATTTGAATCCAGTTTCCCAGAACATTAGTTGAGATTCTGGATTAATAGTCTAGTGATAATACCACTAGGCCATTACCTCTCTAAATGCCTCTCCTCATCCCTGTTCTGAAAAGATAGTCCCTAATTTTAAAAGTGTCTTCCAAGTTGGAATGAACACAAGAGGAACCATCCTTTCACCTTGTCAATCATTCAGGATCAGATACACTTTAAGCACCATTCAGTCTTCTAAACTCCAACGAAAACATGCTGAGACTGTTCAATCTATAATCATTAGACAAACCAATCATTCTAGGTATCACTCCAGTAAATGGTGTCTGAACCACCTCCAATGCGTTTACATTATTCCGTAAATAAGGAGACCAAAGCAGCACCCTCTATTTGAGATGTGGCGTTGCCAATGCCCTATGTATCTGAAGCATCCTTATTGGTATGTTGAATTCCCTTTCCAAATAAAGGATAGCATCCCATAGCCTTCTTGCTTACATGTTGTATGTTCAGACTAACTTTTCGTGACTCATGAAACTGAATCCTTCGGCACCTTGGAATTCTACTTTTGTTCTTTGTTTAAATAATACTGTGCCTTTTTTATGCTTCCTACCAAAGTGAACAACTTCCCACTTTTCTGCATTATACCCCATCTGCCAAATTCTTGTCTGCTCGCTCAACCTTTATCTACAGCATGTTACCGTTTCAAAGAGCTCCAATAAATTAGTTCAGCATGATATTCCCTTTGACAAAACAATGTCAACGCTCCTCAACTGCCTTGAGTGTTTCTAAGTGTGTAGTTATAATCTCTGTCAAGGGTGATTCAAGCACCTTCCCCATGACAGAAATGAAGCTATCTGGCCTATGGTTTTCTGTTTTCTGTTTTCTGCACCCCTCCCTTCTTGAATATGGGGCTATGTTTGATACTTTCCAATCCAACAGAACCTTTCCCAAATCCAGTGAATTTTGGAAAATTAACACTGACGCGTTTACAAACTCATTTGCAACCACTTTTAAGACCCTGGCATGAAGTCCATCTGGACCCATGGACTCCTTAGCCTGCAAGTCCATTGGCTTGCTTAGTACCACTTTCCTCATCACTCTTCCTTGCAAATCCTGATTTAGAAGTAATATTGGAATGTATTTTGTATCCCGCATAGGAAGACAGAAGCGCAATATTTGTATGTTTAATCCACCATTTCTTCAATATCTACAATTAACTTCCAATTCTTGCTCTTTAGAGGGCAAGAACTTACTTTATTTACTGTTTTTTTTTCTAAATACCTGTAGAAGCTCTAAATTTGCTCATTAATAGTTAGCTCCTTCTCATACTTCAGTATCTTTCTCTGGATTAACCTTTCAGACATTCTCTGCCATTCCTTATGTTATGCTCAATTATCTGACTTGCCACTCTACATTACTCAACTATTGGCATATGAATAGTAAGAGCTTGCTTAAAGGAGGAGTAGGGCAGATTGGAGTCAAAAAACAGGATTTACACTTGGAGGCGGGGAGCCTGCCTGAGGTGTTAAGTGAATACTTTGCACCTGTCTTTACAAAAGAGGAGGACGCTGCCCAGGCCCTTGTGACAGAGGAGAAAACTGTCACTAGAAGGGATCAAAATTAATTAGGAAGAATTATGGATAGTCTGTTTCTGCAGACTTCTTCATTTAATTAATTTTTAGCTCCTCTATTCGTCCATCCAAGCTCATGACCTCACATTTCCCCACATTATATTCTATTTGCCAAGTTTTTGCCCACGCAGGCATGGGGCAATTTCAAATTTGTAGACAATACAAAACTTGAAAGCATTGTAAGCTGTGAAGATGACACATGTAGAACTCAGTACAACATTGACAACTTAGTGAAATGTGACACATCAAGTTCAGTGTAGAAAAGTGACGGGTAGAAAGTGTAGAGAGAAATCAGAGTGAACGTTTTGGGCTCAGTTCTGAGGAACGGTCAGCAGACCCAAAACGTTCACTCTGATTTGTCTTCACAGATGCTGCTGAGCTTTTCCAGCAATTTCTGTTTTCGTTTATGATTTACAGCATCCACAGTTCTTTCAGTTTTTAGTTACTAAACCGTTCAATATTCTAGGAGCTATTAATTGTGGCAGAGAGTAAGAGAGCAAGGAGGCTATGCTGAACCTGTATCTCCGAGTGACTTAAAACCCTAGTTAGACCTCACCTGGAGTATTATGTACAGTTCTGGCCACTACACTGTAGGAAGGATGTGAACACATTGAAAAGAGTGCAGAAAAGGTTTACAAGAATGGTCCTGGGATGAGAATTTTCACTTATGATTAAAGATTAGGTATATAGATCTCTTCCTTGATGAGAAACAGGCTGAGAGGAGATTTGAGTGAGGTTTTCAAAAACACGAAGGGTCTGGACTCAGACACAGGGAAAACTGATCCTGCTTGTAAACGGATTGAGAATGAGAAAGCACAGATTTAATTACAAAAGAAGAGTATATGATTTGAGAAGAAACTTTTTCTCATGTTGAGTGGTTCAGGTCTTGACTCTACTGCCTGAAAGGGCTTTCAAGAAGACATTAGATGATTATTTAAATAGAAATATCATTCAGGGTTATGGAGAAATGGTGGGTCGATGGTACCAAGTCATGATGCTAATTCAGAGAGCCAGTATGGACAAAATGAGCTAAAAGGCCTTTGATGGCATTTCAACAGTTTTGTGACCAGTAATGTCCACACCTCACCAAATGAAGAAAATTCCCAGGCAATTTGGTTAATGGCAGAGGTTTTGTGATAAAACCAACACATTGAACAATCAGAAGATTTTAGAACAGGTAGCAGAAAGTGGACTTAAATATCTTACTTGTATCTTAAAAACAACACACTGTGGAGCTGGAGGAATACAGCAGGCCAGGCAGCATCTGAGGAGCAGGAAAGTTGACATTTCGGGTCATGTATCTTAAGTTCATTTGACTACGTTTGTTTCATACCACTTCATACCATCAGTCAACATATATCTTTGAACAAAAACCAAGCTGTTGTGGAAGTTGGACACTCAAAATGTAGTAAAACATGCTGGAAATACTCAGCAGGCCAAAATAAGAAATAAAAGGCTGCAGAGCTGAAATGAACAATCTTCTCATCTAGGTTTTGAAAATTTCAACAGAGGGAACTTTACTCAGTATACTACTAGTGTTATAATTGCCCTGTGACTGTTTGATGTGATAGTATAGAAGAGCTTTACTGCGTTTCTAGCTCAGACTGTACCAGAGTGTTTGTTGAGAGACAGTAAAAGCAGGTTCATTGTATATCTGATCTGTGCTGTACCTGCTCTGGGAGAGTTTAGCGGAGACAGTGTTAAGTGAGCTTTAATAGGTTTAATACCACACTATTCCTATCCTGGAAGTATTTTTTGGGGACATTGTAGAGGGAACTTTACTCTGTATGTAACCCCATGGTGTCCCCATCCTGGACTGTTTGATGAGAACATTGTAGAGGAAACTTTACTCTGTATCTAACCCTATGCTGTACCTGTCCTGGGACATTTTGATGGGTAGGTATAGAGGGAGCGGTACTCTGTATCTAACCCTGTGCTGTCGCTGTCCTGGGAGTGTTTGATGAGGACACTGCTGAGGGAGCTTTAATCGATATCTAACCCTGTGTTGTATTTGGAAATGTTTGATGCTGTTACTCATTGTAATGGAATGCTGAAGTTCCTCACCTTGATGTGCCATTAGTTCTCAAAAAGTTTAAATGTTAAAAATTTGAGAGTGGTTTAGTGGTAAGTAGTAACATTTCACAGTACTTTATCCATTGTGGGACTCTTATCCTGCAGGATTCCTTTAAGGCTGGTGACATAACTTAATAAAAGCCCTAATCCCAGTAGGGGAGGCCTGGTTATATGTGTTAAGGTAAAAGGCCCTGCCCAAAACATACAGGCCTGGTATTGTCCTGATAATTTCCAACAGCTGCAGCACACCTGTCTTTTATAATAGATAACTACTTGGCAGCTTTTGATGTTTTTATGGAAGTGTTGCCTTGATTGACAGTGTTATTGATTGATATGGATGTGGGCCATGCACTAAGTTTCACCTTCTTTCTCTTCTTTTTGTGTATGTTGTTTCATGTGTCTGACAGGTACTAAGTGCCCAAGATCTCGTCGACTTTTCCCCCGTGTACAGATGTCTGCACATATATACTGCACTGGTAAGTTACCTGGCTCCAATCATGTATTCCAGCTGGGGTGGGGGATGGTGGTGGAGATGGTGAAAACTAACTTGAGATACAGGTCAAATTAACATCTTTGATGCAGATCTGCAGCATTTTTTTGCTTGCCTGGCAGCGAGATGACATTATGACTGTTTGGTCAGATATTGTGGAATCATGGGTTCAAGCTGTTGCCTGTTTTGGTAGCTGTGGGGTTTAGTTTGATTGTGGCATGTGTTTACTGGTGAGTATCTTCACACCAGCAGGAAATCAGATGTGCACGTTAACTGTGTTGAGATTCGTGCTGCATTTTAACATTTAAATACTCTGTGTATGTTGCTGGCTTCTTAGAGGCAGCATATCCCAGAGCACATTTCACCTCACAAGAGCAAACAGTGTGTGACAGGTGAGAACGAACTGTCCAAAGTTACCTTGAGGAACTCAGGGACCCTGTGAAATTGTTACACCAGAGAACGTTTCACCATTGGCAAATTTTACAGGAATGATTCCGATATTCTTGCTTTACAATAAATTTAAAGGAAATCAAAACAACTTGGACTGACAGAAATCAGAAATAAAAACAAGTGCCAGAGAAGTCCCAAAGTATCTGGAAAAGGAAAAGGCAGCTTAATGTTTCAGGTTATGACCCTTTATACCAACGAATGTATTAACCTTTGTGAACTGGATCTAACTTCTGAACCTGCAACACATTTCTGATGTCTATGATATTTTTGCTTATGTGTATTGAAGGATTGGAGTGTATTACTGCAGCCTCATGGGAGTGTCAGATTACTATCTTGCAAAGTATTTTTAGCCCTTGAGACCAAGAGAATGTCACCACATCTGGGAAGATATCTGGTCACTGCTGCCTGCCATTAACCTCTTGTCAACCTCGCAACAAGACCGTGGAATCAAGGAGTGACATTCAGGCAACTGTCTCTCAAAGCGAGGCGTATTAACTGTATAACTTCCTTCTAATTGATTTCCAATTTTCAGTCTGATTTAGCTTTTTAAGACAGAAGTTTTACTTCAGACCAAATGTAACTCAGTTCTGTTTCTACCGAATGCTCAAAGCAAGGCTGAGATGAGAAGGAAAGATACTACAAGTTTGGGCCTGCTGCAGTAGTTTCTCATGCTTCCCTCCTGCTTATCTGCAGGGTAAAAGTTCAGCCATGTGCTGTGGTTTGTGTCTCAAGGTCAGTCCATGGTCAGGGTCTTGGTGACAGAGGGTGTAGGTATCTTTAATTCCCACCGTCAGCAGCTGGAAGTTGGGAGAGACTGAGCTATCTGGGAACTGGTGCCACTGCCACAGGAAGCTCTGAACTCTCACAGAAAGGTCAAGAGTGGCAAAATGTTAGTTCACGGGGTCAGTGGCAGGGTACCGGCAAGTAGGCTTCAAATCTTTCAGTTATCTATTGTTCCTGGTAAAGCTGTTTTTAAAAAAAACCGTCATCTTATGCCCTCCATTGAAATCTGAAGAGTTTCCTCAGAAATCATTTCCTGAGTCCGCCAGTCTGGATAAATAGTTGAAAGTAGTGTGTACAAAGAGCCAATATCTTAAAGGCACTCTCAAAAACAGGATAACAATTAGATGAGTGAAATGATTGCACGTTAAGTTTTAAGGATTGTGAAATCTGTGTCTACTTTCAAAGTATGGCTTATTTTGCCTCTGTCTTTTTTCTGCCCCATTTTCCCTGATTTCCTAAAAGTGCCGACCGTTGCTGGGGTTTGGTTGTATTGCTCCAGTAACTGAATGGCAATTTTGTTTGCTGCCTTCAATGCTTCAACTTTCCCTTCACTCTTAAGCCCTTAGGAATCTTATCACCAGTGATCTCCCAAATCAGTTTGAGATCTGCTTCATTAATTTTTTGTGAAATAGACCAGCCAATCTCTGTATTACAGGATTAATGGTGTTCTTTATTTGTCTTTACGTTTTTTTTAATGTTAGTTTTTTTTTTCTCGTTGCCTGAGCATGCCAGAGTGCAGTTCCATTGCACTGCTTAGTTTGTGACCTCATGACCAAGACAACGTTCTTCCTTTTTCTTTGAGGAAACGAAGAATAGAACTTGCGTTGATACAGTTCCACAGTACTTCACATGCAATCTAGTACCATTGAGGTGTAGTCACTGTTCACAAGAATACCAGAAATAGGAGCAGGAGTAGAACAAACTGAGCCCACTCTGCCATTTAATGCAGACATGATTGCTCTGGGGTTTCTGCTCCATGTTTTCTCCCTGTTCCCTCTATCCCTTGATTCCCTGAGGGTTCAAGACTCTGTCTAACCCAGCCTTAAATGTTTTAATGATAGAGTCGTAGTGTCATAGAGTTTTACAGCACGGACACACACCCTTTGGTCCAACTCATCCATGCTGCCCAGATATCCTAAATTAACCTAGTCCCATTTGCAGGTAGTTGATCCATATCCCTGTAAACCCTTCCTATTCATGTACCCATCCAGATGCCTTTTAAATGTTATAATCGTACCAGCCTTCATCACTTCCTCTGGCAGCTTGTTCCATAGACGCACCACCCTTTGTATAAAAAAAAAGTCACCCCTCAGGTCCCTTTTATATCTTTCCCCCCTCACCTTAAACCTATGCCCTCTAGTTTTGGACAACACTACCATGGGGAAAAGACCTTGTCTATTCACCCTATCTATGCCCCATATGATTTTATAAACCCCTATAAGGTCACCCCTCAGCCTGCGACACTCCATGGAAAATAGCCCCAGCCTACTCAGCTTCTCCCTGTAGCTCAATCCCTCCAACCCTGGCAACATCCTTGTAAGTCTTTTCTGCAGCCTTTCAAGTTTAACAACACCTTTCCTTTTGCAGGGAGACCAGAATTGAATGCAGTATTCCAAAAATGGTCTAACTAATGTCCTGTATAGCCGCAACATGACCTCCCAATTTCTATACGCAATGCACAGACCAATAAAGGCCAGAGTACCAAACTCCTCCTTCACTTGCCTGTCTACCTGTGACTCCACCTTCAGGGAACTATGAGCCTGCACCCCAAGGTCCTTTTTGCGTAACACTCCCCAGGACCCTACCATTAAGTGTATAAGTCCTGCCCTGATTTGCCTTACGAAAATGCAACATCTTGCACTTATCTAAATTAAACTCCATCTGCCATTCCTCGGCCCATCTGATCAAGGTTCCGTTGTACTTTGAGATAACTTTCATAACTGTCTGATACACTGCCAATTTTCATATCATCTGCAAATGTACTAACTATCCCTCCTATATTCACATCCAAATCATTTATATAAATGCCAAAACATAGTGGACCCAGCACCGATCCTTGCGGCACACTGCTGGTCACAGGCCTCCAGTCTGAAAAACAACCCTCTGCCATCGCCTTCTGTCTCATACCTTCAAGCCAATTTTATATCCATTTGGCTAGCTCTCCCTGGATTCCATGTGATCTAACCTTGTTAACTAGTCTACTGTGCAGAACTTTATCGAATACCTTGCTGAAGTCCATTTAGCCAATATCCACCACTCTGCCTACATCAATCTTTGTTGTTACTTCTTCAAAAAGCTCAATTAAGTTAGTGAAGCACGATTTCCCATGCACAAAGCCACGTTGATGATTCCTAATCAGTCCTTGCCTTTCCAAATGCATGTAAGTCCTGTCCCTCAGAATCCCCTCCAACAACTTCCCCACCACTGACGTCAGGCTGACCTATCTATAGTTCCCTGGCTTTTCCTTACCACCTTTTTAAAATAATGGCACCACATTTGCCATCCACCAGTCCTCCGGTACTTCACCAATGGCAGTCACTTCTTAGCTTCACACAAAGTTCAGATTATCCGCAAACTTTAGGCTGGAGAATTCCAAAGATCCACAATTCTTTGAGTGAACTAATTTCTCGCCATCTCAGTCTGAAATGACAGGTTCCATATACAGAGACTGTGCCCTTGTAATCTAGATTCCTATTCAGCGGAAATAATCTCTTGGTCCACCCCTCCGAGCCCCTTCAGAATCTTATATGTTCCAACAAGATCACCCCTTGCTGTTCTAAAATCCAGAGTATTTTAGCCAATTTGTTCAGCTGCTCTTCAAGGACAACCCTGTCTTCCCACGGGCCAAGTTAGTGAAACTTTGCTGCAAAACTTGCCGTGCAAGTCTATACTTCCTTAAATTTGGAGATCAAAATTGCTTACTGTACTCCAGATGTGGTTTCACCAAAGCTAGTTAGCTGGACAGCTGGCTTGTGACACAGAGTGATGCCAACAGTGTGGTTTCAATTCCTGCACCAGCTGAGGTGACCGTGAAGGACTCTGCCCAGCCTCTCCCTTCGCCTGAAGCATGGTGACCCTCAGGTCAAACCCCACCAGTCAACACAGTGTGGAGCTGGAGGAACACAGCAGGTCAGGCAGCATCAGAGGAGCAGGAAAGTTGATGTCCTGACCTGAAACTGATGAAGTTCTGATGAAGGGTCCCGACCTGAAATGTTGACTTTCCTGCTCCTCGGAAGCTGCCTGACCTGCTGTATTTCTCCAGCTACACACTGTGTTGACTCTGACTCCAGCATCTACAGTTCTTGCTATCTCTAAGTGACTTAAAACCCCACCAGTCGTCTCTCTGTAATGAAAGAGCAGCCGATGGTTTGGTTAGACTGTGGTGACTTTACCTTTATACAATTGTAGCATTATTCCTGTACTCGATCTGGTTGTAATTAACGTCAAATGCCATTTGTTTTCCTGATTGCTTGTTGTCCCTGCATGTTGATGTTGTCTCCAAATCAACGCTTACAAGTGTAACACCTTTGAAAAAAAATGTTTTGCTTTTCGATTTTTACAACCAAAATGCTTAACCTCACACCAAGACATTTGTTGCCAGTCCGTTATTGCCCTTGTGGAGCTATTTCTTTCCTCCTTAGTTTATTCACAGTAATAGCCAGGAAGCTAATCATCACTTCCTGCAGACTGTTGAGAAATCTTTCTGGAGTATCAATGCCAGTTGGGTCTCAATTGATTGAGAATCAGCTGTTG